GGCTCTTGCTGAGGGTGAGGGGCTGCCCTCCGATGCGGGTGCTGCTTCCCTGCCTCGCCCTCTTGCTCTGGAGCTGGGCTTAGTTGCCTGTGCCAAACCCCATCCTGCTGAGGCCAGAAAGCAAAGAAAGGTTATTTCCTGCAAGCTGGGATTTTTAGGAAGAGTGGAAGCCCCAGGCAGCCTGTGGCACCTCCATCTGATCCCATTGGCGCGGGGCATTGGCTTGGCTCTGCGGGTGGCTGCTGAGAGCCTGGCGTTGGTGAGGGGCACCCTGGCAGGGTGGGAAGCTGCAGGTCAGGAGCACGTCCCCTGCCTCCATACATCCGTGGGCAAAGCCTGGGAAAGCAGGATTGGGGTCCCTGTGCCCAGGCGAGCACGGGTTGTGTGTGCAGGTGGAATGTCTGAGATGGGGTTGAGTGAGAGATGAGGAGTCTGGAAACAGCACCTACATCTTGGCATGTGTGTGGGGATTTTGCACAGAATCCCAGACTGGTAGGGACTGGAAGGGACCTCTGGGGATCATCTTGTCCACCCCCGCTGCTCCAGCAGCGTGCCCAGGGTCACAGCCAGGCAGGTTTGGGATCTCTCCAGAGCAGGAGACTCCACAGCCTCTCTGGGCAGCTGCTCCAGGCTCTGCACCCTCACCCCAAAGAAGTTTCTCCTCCTGCTCAGGTGGAACCTCCTGGGTTCCAGTTTGTGCCTGTTGCCCCTTGTCCTGTCACTGGGCACCACTGATAAGAGTCTGGCCCCATCCTCTTGACCTTTGCCCTTTAGCTATTGATAGGATTCAGAATATTCCCTCCTGGAAGTCTTGTGGAGAACTGTGCCTTAGACTTGACCCTGAGCCCCTGTCTGCCTGCAAACCCCTCCTGAGCTGGCATTGCCCAGCCAAAGCCTGGGAGCTTTGCTGGGCCTGTGGGCATGAGATGGGGCAGTGCTGCGGTGCCCTGGGTGTGTGTCCTGGCTCTGGGCTGCAATAGGAGCCTTGTGCCAATGTCTGTGCCCAGCCCTGTGCTTGTTATCCCCCTGGGATGGTGTGTGGGGGGCACGTGGCCATGTCCTCTTCCTGGGTGTCACTAAAGGAGGCTGCTGGCAGGGCAGAGCCTGCCTGAGGAATCCTCCTGGATCTTCAGCCCCATGCAGGCAGCATCTGGAGCAGTTTGATCCCATCTGGGTGCACATGGTGGCTCCTGCCCCTCGGTGCTGCTGCCTCTCCTGGTGCTGCAGCACTGGCCATCCTCAGTCGAGCCTGGCACTGTCCTTGCAGGGCAGATGTTGGCCACATGGGCTGCCTTCACCCCGGGGGGCTTTTGGTTTGTGCTTGTCGGGTGGCACCTCTGCCCCCAAGTGTCTGTGCAGCAAGGGACTCTCCAACGTAAGGGTGGGGGTCTGCCAGGACCCGCTGCTCTGGCTCTCACCCAAAAAGCTGTCAGTGGACTCCAGCCCCTCAGAGCTGCTCCCCAAAGGGCTGGGTGAGGGGGTGGCTGGCTGCCAGGCGCTGGCTCTCTGCCTCCTCCAGCAGCCGGGTCGGGCAGGGTGAGGGGGGGAGC